TAATATATTTGCTGCTACTTCCGGGAGAACATGGCGGACAGATAACAGCAACTACCAGAGGCTCTCTGAAAAACTAGGCTGAGAAGCCAGGTATGGTGCGGACTAAAGAGACATAAGCAGGTGGAGTTATGCTCTGCTGACTCAGGAACGAACTCGGCTGAGAGAAACCAACTTGGAATGCAGTCCTGGTGCTAAAACAGGAACAGAAAAGTCTCGCTGCTGAGGCTGGACCCTGCACCATTGGAAGCCGCGATTTGGGTTTCCCGCCGCCCGGCGGCTGGCTGCCTCTACATCGGCTCGGCAAAGAGAAAGACGCGCGGAAACTCTGAGAACGGGAGTCTGCGAACGGAGTCGAAAACAGGACGGGCAGGGAGGCATGTTCTGACTTGTGGCGAGGTTAGTGAGAGAAACTGACACTCCCCCACAGTTTGACTCCAGCAGACTTTCTGGGCCCGAGCAGTCCTGCAGGAGCAGGGCACAATGGCGACTCCAGCCACACATTCCCCTCTCGGGCGGGATTGGTGAAAAGTGCCTGGCCTGCGTGACGCTGCCGGCGGACCCCGTAGGCTGGCCCAACCCAGATCTCAGAGCCTGACGGAGGAGGCCGGGAGGGGCGGGCCCCCGCGTAGGCTGCCTGGTGCGCAGCGGTGAGTGGGAACACCTAACCGGCGCAATTCGATCAGGCTGTGGCTGACAGGCAGGGAAGCCGGGCCTCCTATGTAAGCTTGCATTTTATAAGGAACAGAAAATATGGGGAAGGGAAGCAACAAGAAAGGCTCCTCGGCCCCCAATTCTGAGAAACAGGCAATAGTGGACACCGCACCAACATATATTAAGCGCCATATAGAGAGCCTCATAGACCAATTCAGGAATGAAGTTATCAACGACCTGAAGCTAGAAGTATGCAAAATAGTTAAAGAAATGCTAAGCCCCACCCAAGAAAAAACAGATGGTGGAATGGAAGAACAGAAAAAGAGGGGAGAATTGTTTGATGGAGAAAACAGGGAAAGCATAGAATACGTGAAGCAGGTTCAAAGGGACTACCAAGAAACTAAGAAGTCTATCGAAGACTGGCATAACAGCTTGAAAGAAACTAAGGACAGACTATCTGAACTGGAGGGCAGACTTGGAATATGGGAGAATGAAATGAAAAACTTCTTAAAAATAACAAAGAAACAAACAGCAGTAATACAAAGACAAGAAGATGATAAGAGCATCCATAACTTAAGGATTAAGAACATAAAAGAAGAAGTAGGGACACAAACAAGTGAACTACAAAAGCTACTCACAGAAATAATCCAGGAGAATTTTCCTAATTTAGCAAAAGGTAAAGATACTCAGATGTATGAGGCATACAGGACCCCAGCTACCTACAACCCAAACAGAGCAACACCCAGGCATATAATAATAAAAATTCCAGAAATTCAATGCAAGAACAGAATATTAAAAGCTGTCAGAGACAAGAAACAGACCACTTACAAGGGAGCACCCATCAGAATTACAGCAGATTTCTCTGCACAAACCATCAAATCACGAAGAGCGTGGGGGGAAATAATTCAAGCTTTGAAAGATAATAATCTCCAGCCAAGATTAAGATATCCTGCACAACTGTCCCTGGAAATTGATGGAAAAACAAGGTACTTCCAGGATAAAGAGGAACTGGGGGAATTTGCAACCACCAATTCAACTCTACAGAGAGTATTGCAGGATATTCTAAAAAAAGAAAAATACAAAGAATCCAGAAATAGTGGAGGCCACAACTAATGGAGCAGAGAACAAAGTGAAGAAGACAAACTGACAGCTACTGACAGAATAAGAGCTCAACAGAAATGAGGCAGAGAAGATTGGATGATAGGAACAGCTATTTTGGAGAAAATGACATCTTAATAGGTAATACTGATTTAGTATCATCTTGTTTTGAAGTCTCATCTAGCTTTTGTTCTTCTGTCTCCAATGGTCTAAATAGGTTGTATCTTACTGGATTTTATTATGTACGATAGTATAAGCAAAAACCTTTTAAAGACAAGGAGATTATCCAGAAACCATTATTCATTTTCTGTTAGTCGGTTCTAAATACTCTGTAATGCTGTCATTCTCTTAAATGGTTTTACATTGTTTTGATATACTTAATGCTACAGTATATGAAGTTGTACTCAAGGATTTCAAGGAAAGAGACAATATGGTAACTACTTTTATGTCAGGATTATCTGGTGGTGAAACGCTATTCTGCTTAAATGGTTATGTTTTGATCTGTGCTGTTTCGTTGTTATGCCCTCTTTTATCTCAATCTCCATTCCATTATTTACTTTTTTAATACTTTTTAAAAAATTTTTATCCTTTTAATTAAAGGAAAAAAATAGCAGGATATATTATAGTAACCCACTTTGACTTTCCATTACCTCGATTTAAAGCCCTGTATTACTCTCACCATCTGGTTTTTAACTGATGTTCCCCTATTCTGTTTTGCTGGATAGTATCAGGTTCGAAAATTTAGGCATCAGCTGTGAAGATAATGAGATTCATTATAACGCCCATTCTCGCTGACTTTTATCTACTTTTGAAGACCTACAATGTCTCCAATGGTTTGGCTTTGTCGGTTTTGTTCTTTACTGTTTTGTTCAATTGTATTATAACTAATGGTATAGGCAATTCTATTAGAGATAGCGGGAGGCATCATGGTAACCATTGTTGATCACCTTGTATTATGTTTTCACATTATCTATTATGTCCACCCTTTTGACTTGACCGATTCTGTTCTGTTATGTCACATTTGGTTTTACTCTCTTCCAAAAAAGTAATAAGAACCGTGAGAGCAATGAAACCCAAAATGTGTAATAGTCATTGTACAAAAGAGAGGAAAAGAAAGTGCTCTAAACTATATAACTGCATGTATATTTAAGTGTATAAGATAGAAAATGATATCACAGAGTTTTATTGGATCATTGAACAGAACTCTTTGCAGTATCATTGATGGAATGTCCACTTTACAAGCTTTAATTTTGTGACTTGAACAATTATTTCTAAGATGACAGTATGTAATCCATTAACTAGTGATTTCCTACTGTTCATTTTTTTTCTGCAAATCTGTATAACTTGTACCCTTTCTCTGCTTTTTTTTTCTTTTCTCCTTAAATAAAATTTAAAAATAAAATTAAAAAAAAATATATTTGCTGCTTATACTCCTTCATATGAGAAGTGCCTATTCATTTGAGATGCCTATTTTTGGATTGGGTCTTTAAATTCGGGGGATCATTTTTTTCAATTCCTAATATATTCTAGATATTATCCTTTTGTCTGAGGAACAGCTGGAAAATTTGTCTGTTCAATCTACTGGTAGTTTCTTTTGCTGACTTACACACAGAATTTTAAAAAGTTGAATTCATAGAAGCAGAAAGTAGAATGGTGATTATTACAAGTGGAAAAGGTGGGAAGTGGGAATGGAGATTTTTAGGTAACAGGTATAAACGTTGGAGATCTACAGTATAGCATGGTAACTACAGTTAACAATATTGTTCACTTATATTTCCTGAGGGCATATTGTAAATATTCTCATCACACAAATAAATGATAATAATGTGAAATGGTGGATATGTTACACTATTTGATTGTAATGATCATTTCATAATTTGTATGGTTTGATTGTGTTTGAGTGTTTCTCCCAAACTTTCATGTGTTAAAATTCAGCCCCCATTGACAAGTATTAAGAGGGAGGAAATTTAATCTGACTGTATGTTTAGAGGTGGGGCCTTTGGGAGGTGATTAGGGTACAATAAAGTCACTAGGATGGTGTCCCCACAACTGATTTCTTGTGTCTCCCCAGAAGAGAGTGAGACCAGAAGAGAAATACATACATACCTGTGCTGTGTCTTACCATGTTATGCCTTGTGCTGATACTGAACTCTGTCACCAAGGCCATCACCAGGATGTGACCTCTCAATCTGAGACCTCCACAAGGTAAGCCAAAATAAACCTCTTTTCTTCATAACATACCAACTCCGTGGTTTTGTGCTACAAAATGCACTAACACAAAATGTATACATCCAAATATTATGACAAAGACATAATTTTTTTCAATTGTATTGCCATAAAGTTGGAAAAAATCAGAGATTTTCATATGCACAAAGGTAGGCTAAATTTTTATCAAAACAAATGAACTTTCATGGTTCACTATCCTCAATACTAGTAAGCAACATCACAACATATTATAATCAAATTGATTATGCACATCTGATCTGAACTTAAGAAAACTTCTGAAAGCATTTTGTTTCTTTTTAATATGTAAAGCAATTTAGCACGTGTTGACTGTATAATTATTGAAATAATTTAGGATTAAAAACATAACAATGAGAAATGTACAAAAGATTGAGGAGGGATATAGCTCAGAGGTAGATTGCATATTTTATTTAGGAGGCACTGGTTTAGTCGACAGCACCAAAAAACAAAAAAGCAGCAATTTGAGGACTGAATGATTTATTTTTTTTCCTCCATTTTGTTACTTTGGGCATGCAAAATCTAAGGGTATAAATTCTGTATTAACGTTTTTAAACAGAAAACCTGATTTGAAGCAAAATGTTTAATAAAGGTAGATTGGGCTCATATTACTTTTTAGGAAGTTCTGGAGAATATTAAATTCAAAACTGAATTTTGGTTATTAGTTTTTCACTGTCATGGTAAAAGTTAATAATTTTATTACTTTTTTGGTTCTTTTTGAGACAATGTTTCACTATGCAGTTCAGGCTGGCCTTGAACTCACCGTGATCCTCCTGCCTCAGCTGGGATCCTCAGCCTACAGCTGGGATTACAGGTGTATGCCACCATGCCTGGCTTATTATTGCTCTTTAACATAGATTAAAAAATATTTTAAAATGTCCTGACAGGCGCAAAGAGGCTTTTTAAAAGCATTTGTCCTCACAGGAATGGCAGAGCCTCACACATCACCTTGGTCTGGTCCTCCCAGCGCCCTCTGTGACCCCCGCACTCGGCCAAGGCGCAGAAGTTCGCCGCAGGCGTAGGCGCATGTGCAGGCGCAGGCGCAGATGAAGCCGCGCCTTTCGCTCCAGTCTCGCGGCGCACGTGATCTCGCTTCTCCGCGCCCTCTGCCGACCGCGTGCTCTGTGGGATCTCCTGGCTTGGCTGCCCGGGGCTGGCGCAGCTGTGCGGCGTGACTTCACCGAGGCGAAGAGGGCGAGAGGGCGCGGAGGTTTGGAGCGCGGCCGTGGGGGCGAGCGGGCGGGTGGCTGAGGGGCAGGCGCCGCTTGTGTGAGGAGCAGTTGCTGGTGTGGGTACCCAAGGTGGAGGCAGACACGCAGGGCACCCAGAGGGCTTTCCCGGGAGGCGCGAGTCCCTCCCCCGTGCCTCGCCCTGAGGCGACGCGCGGGCTGCGGGAGAGGGCGCCGCGTGTCCGCCCGCGCCACGACGCCCTCCCGAGACCCGCCACGTGGAGAGAGTGCGGGAAAGGCTCCCTTTCCCTTTCTAGACGTGGACTCCAAGATGAATGACAAGCTATTTGCCGGACTGGACAGGCTTTTGCTGGAGTTCGGTAGGTACAACAGGGCGCACTGGACACTGTATTAACACGTGACATTTTCACGATCACGAGAAGTCACAAGAGAATTGTTTTAGTTTTCCAGTATCACCAAGACATAAGTACTAAAGAAGACATGACGCAAAGAATTAAGAGTAAGTAGTTTTCCATGATTATTTTTTAGCCTTTTATTTACATATAGCATAATATGTACTGTCTTGCTTTAGGGCAGTTTAGCAGTTGGCATAACTTTTGTGGCAATTCGATCCACTAATTAGTATAGTGGTTAGTAACATTAGGCAAAACGGGTATTAGCGATTTCAAACAAATTTGTACACTCTGCATTTATTTTGTGAATTGTTTTGCATTAAACCAAACATATCAAGGGCAACTGAAAAGATACTATTTATCTCAACTATTGGACTGTAAATGTTTTCTTTATTGAAATTACCCAAGATTAGGAACCAAAATTGATAGATGCCACAATTTCAAGAATAATAATTCTGAAAAACAAATAGTATAAGTGAAAGTCAAGACTAATTACAGTATTTTAAGTTCTAAAAATAGAACTGCTAACTTTGTAGTAGTTCTGAAAAGATGGTTTATCTTCTACAGTCGAAAGGTATTATGAAATTAATGTTTTCAAGAAATTATGTTCTATCTTTGATTGCTAGTAACAGGTGATCCAAGGTGTGTTTAATAATTAATTGACATGGACCTGATGAATGGAAATTTCACATTTGTCAAAAACAAAAGCCTATATTAGTATGATTAATGAATAAATGTTAGCATGAATATATAGATTAATATGATAGATTAACTTTATGTCAGTCTTTCCCTCCTCTGTCAAAGATAAGAGACAGGGAACATTTATCTCTCTTCAATCTGAAAGGTAAATCTTTCGCATTTGGGTCTTGAATCGTAACTGGCTCTGGTTCTCTGCTTTTCAACGGCAAGGTGCTTTTCCGTCTCAAATCTCTCTTATTTTCCATTCTCTGGCTCTCTCTTTTTTTTTATGGACATGTAAGTTGTCATACACCTCTCTTTACCCACAGTTTTTGTTTATTTTGAACTTATGATTTCTGCTTTAAGAAAATATTTTCTCTTTTCAGAATGCTTCGAAGATATTAAAGAAAACAGAGAAGCAATTTGTAGGATACATGAAAGAATAAATAAAACAGATGAGGAAATTACTTACTATCGTAAACATAGTGAGGAGATCAAAGACAGCTGTAGTAAGTGAGTATTCGAAAGAAACAAACTTCCATTAATTGCCTTTCAGTTTCCTTATTCAAGGTTTCTGAGTTTATAGTTGATAACACTATTGCACATGCAAATCATATGCTCTAATTTGGATACATATCCCTGACCGTAAGATAATATTCCATATTAGCAAAATAATGAATCTAATCCTTAATTGTCTGCTTACATCCTATTGTAGAAAGGGATCACAGCAGATTCAAGAGAAAGATAAAAATAAGGGTTACAAGATCTTACCTGAATTGGTCTGATTTAGTCTGAATACAGAGTTTTTAAATGTAAGCTAAGTTTTAAAATTCCTAATAGATATTTTTGAAACAATTTCAGTCTTTAAATCTTTCAATATTTTAGCTTTGTGTGAAATAATCCAATCTAATTTTTTTTGATGGGGGATCAAACTCAAACCTCACACCCGACAGAAAGGTGCTTACACCACTAAGCTAAATCCCCTTTTCTTAGGTTTTGAACCTATGGTCTTTTGATTGAGTGCATCCCCAGACCTTTTAATATTTTTTTTATTTTGAGACAGGATCTCATTAAGTTGCTTCATTGCCCAAGTTGGTCTGGAACTTTGTGATCCTTCTGTCTCATTGCCTTAGTCTTCCATATGCTAGGATTAGAGGTGTGTGCTGCCATGCCAGACTTCAACCTAAAATTTTTCAAGATGAAGAGCTTTAGAAAAATGTCTGTTTGCGTCTTTTGGCCTCCACCCTATTTTGTTTGTTTGTTTGCGATAGAATCTTGTTATGTAGTTCAGCTGGCTGTGTTGGTTACTTTCCTCTCATTGCTGGGACAAAATATCTGATGCCCAAAATTAAGGAAGGAAAGGTTTGTTTAGCTCACAGTTTGTGCAAGTTTTAGTCCATACTCAGCTGACTCCGAGGCAGGATGGTTCATGGCACAGGGGCAATGGTTACCTATCCTAGGGTTGGTGTAGCACTCTCACCCATAATTCAGCATTGGACCATAAATCAACCACAAATTCTAGAAACCTGCCCCTGGAGTTTGGGGAGACATCTGGACACAAACCATAGCACCAGCCTTGAATTCACCATGTATTATCCCAGACTGGCCTTGAATTTGGAATGATCCTCCTGCCTCAGCTCACTGCTGGGATTATAGGCAGATACCACCACACCCAGCTCATGAACTTAAAAAATTATGCTTCAGCCTTTTTTATCATAGTAAAATATTGGAAGTAACTCTAATGTTCATTTTTTTTGTGTGTGTGGGGTACTGTGGATTGAATTCACGACCTCATACTTGCCAGGCAGGCGCTTATGCCACTGAGCTAAATCCCCAGCCCCTGGTGTTCAGTATTAAGGGGGTGGGCTCAATGAATTTTGGTACATGACTGAAACACCAGGCATGCAATATAATAATTGTACAGATGTATGTTTGACATGGAAAGATGTTAACAGTGCACTGTACTACAAATTGAGCAAAATGGATTGTAAAACATAGTGTGAACCCAATTCATAATTATTTATAATTAGAAAAATCTGGATGTGTGTATATCAAAATATATGCCACCATAAGAGTGAATTGCTTCTCAGGAGACATGTACTTCTTATGGAACCTTTAAATGTTTGGAATACATAAATGTATAATCTTTGACCTTTCTATTCCATTTTGGAGAATATTTTTTAAGAGATAGCCAGAAATTCAGACAAATATTATAGTATAAGTTTTGTTTAGTAGACAATAAAGGAATGTAAGTCATATATGGATATAGTTTCTGTAACATTAAATATATAGTTATAGTAAAATCTAAAAATGGTAATAGTGGGTCATAATTATTTTCTTATATAATATACATTTTTTATGCTTCCAGAATGAATATGTTTACTCTTTGAATCTGGAAAAAAATTAGAAAAAAGAGGATATATTCAAACAGACTTAGAATGATATATAATAAATTTAGATTTTTCCTATTGGTAATTTTTCTCAATATAGGTAATAAAATTTTTCTCTATATACATAATAAAAATGTATCACCTGGGCATAGTGATGCATGCTGTAATCTCAGCATGCAGGAAGCTGAGGCAGGAGGGTCTCTTTAAGTATTTAAGGCCGGCTTAAACTAAATAGTGAGACCTTGTTTCAAAAAAAGGTTGAATATTCATTTTATATAATTTGTTATGATCAGGTTTTTCTTTGTGTCTCAGGAAAGCATAACAGCCTAAATGTCAGAAGACATTAAAGCCTCTCTTTAACCTTTATCCTAGCTTTTTCAATGTCTATTCCAAAAGAATTTCTTAGTCAAGATCTTAGAATATGATGAGAAAGAAAATCTGATGTTAGAGTATTGGAGAGTGTAATAGAAATGCTATGACAATACATAATCTAGCCATACTGTATCCTCTCCTTCTTTAGTAATGTTTCAAGAAATTCATGTAAATTATTGAATATTAATATTTGAATATAGGAGTACATAGATAATGATAGTGTGATGATAGGAAATTGAAAAATTATTTTGATGTAAACTTGTTTGCTCTAGAAAGATTTCTTTTTAATGATCACATTTTAAAGTTATTTCTATTTGTCATTCTGAGATGCTAAATACAACTATAATTTTTTCCATAGATGGAAGCCAACATGTGATGTTTTTCATAAACATGAAGATTACATGCAGGGTGAATTTACTATGTACCGAGAAACTTTTGAAAAAGACAAGTACAGTATATATACTGATTTAAGCATTCTTTTGTATTCTCTATATATGTAGAATCAGCATTCTTTAATATTGTCATGACATGCTTTATAAAAATGTTACCAAAAATGTAGTAAATTAGTATTGTGAGGAAATTTTTAAGTAAATAATATTTTAACTCTGTGTACCATTGAAATTCTACCTATTTGTTACAAATCTTTCTCTAATCCTGAATATGTTTAGAGTTGCCTTATGTATAAAGTATTTTTCAGTAGCAATTATGACAGCAGTTTTAAGCAAACACCAGGGGAATAATGATCTACAGAATTACCTTATGAAAAAGTTATATCAAATTTCAGTTTTCATACATTTGATTTTATGTGTCACTGGAGGGTTATTCTAATGAAAAATACTGGTACTTGTGTGGGTTTATTTGTACATTCACATTATCTTGGAGATTAAGTGTAGTTAGAGGATATAATGAAATAAGATGACAAACTTTGAACATGATGCATACCATTAAAACTTCACCTAATCAAAATTATTTTCATTTTAATGTATTTGGAAGACAGCAGTTGTGCATTATCATATTTTAATTTTAAAAACATGTAAAATATCTGCAGTCCTTTATTGTCAAAGTTGAACCTTAAGGGAAGGTAGGGACTGAAGCTTTAGATTGTTCTTAATGGATGTCATGAAAATAGATGAGATTTTCCAGGAAAATAGAGCATAAAGAGGAGAAAGGCAGAGTACTCCATCATCCAAAGAACAGACTGAAGGTAAAGAAGACTGTGAGGATGTCAGTCTTGCTTCATTCCCCAAAGAATTTGAGGTGATTTATATAAATAATACTATTTCTCAAGGATAGAGGAAAGGGATGATTAAAGAAGACTTTGATCAAGTTCAAAATTCATCCTTTGTGATGCTGCACATTGTTAGACAATAGATGCAGATTAGGTTTTGAAATTCTTTATAGTTGAAACATTGTGGAAATGTGACCAGGTTGGAATTCAGAATATTCATTTAAAAAATGGTTCAAGTACTTAAAATAGTCAAAAGTATTTACTAAAAGTTAAATTTATTCCCCCTGGGTCTTCAGAAAGGGGTCGCTGGGAATCTGATAGTTTGTATCTTCAGTAACCTTCCCCTCAAAGGACAACATATATCACTACATATAATGTTTCTTACTGTAAGTCATAGCTATTTTCAAATAAGTTCTCAAAATTTATTCTATCAGGCTAAAGCACACCAGTCCGAGTATGTACCTTTGTGATAGTGTTTGTTATAGATGACTTCTCTGAGCTAACTAGAAGCCTTGAAGTGAAATGGCTATTTCTTTGTTAAAGCAGTCATGTAGGTGAATTGATGTCTCAATTCTAGGCATTTCTAAAAAGAAGCGCATTCTTTCATTGCTGTCAGGGGTGATGGAGGAAGTAGAGGCACCAGTTGATTATCACCAATCTTCCTTGTCTGTCCCTATCCCAGACATTCATGAAGATTAGTATTGCTAGCAACAGACAAGATAAAAATGTGATCTTCTTGCATTACTTAGCTATGCTGTGCCCAGCTAGAGTTCCTACATGGCGCATGTAACAAGAGTAGGCACAAATATACTCTGGAAACAGAATGAATGTGGTATGCCAATCTCTTCTGAATCTGGGGACTCAGGACTACTTCCCTTACAGCTATTTTTCTACTCCCTGCACTGTTTTCCCAAATTATTACATAACAAGCATGTGGGGTTTACTTAATTAGAAAATGAACATTTAGAAGAATAGGAACTTAGTTTGGACTCAACAGCTTTGTTTTGCTAAAGGGGGAAGAGTTTAGTAATGTTAAGATATTAGACCATTCTTATATTCAGACTGTTATCCTTTTCTTCTGATTAAACCAGCAATTTACTTATTCTTTTCTCATCTGCTAAAGTAAATGATTCTTTTAACATTTTCAAAGAAATTCCCCCATGTAGTATAACTTGATCTGAGAAATAAGTCAGTCTTGGGGAATGCAGTAAGGACTGTATGTCTTCAAAATCTTGCTGAGCAAGGGCGTACACCTGTAGTCCTGGCACTCAAAAGACTGAGTCAGGAAGATCACCATAAGTTCTAGGTCAGCCTGGGGTACATCAGCAAAGTTCAGGGCCATCCTGTGTACAGAATCACATTGAGATTCTGTCTCAAAAGAAAAAAATCTTACCATGAATATTATTTCTTGAAACTATGAGAACTGAGTCAAAAACAAGATTTAAAAAATTTTTTTCTTTATCTTCTTGAATCAGGGTCTCACTCTGCAGGCTGGCCTTAAGCTCACTTTGTAGCCCAGGCTGATCTTGAACTTGTAATCATCATCCTGCTGTAGCCTCCAGAGTGCTGGGATTGCAGGCTGGATTAAATATTTTTGATGTTGAAAATCAGGGTTGGCAAGCTTTTTTTCTTTTGGTAAAGGAGCAGATAGTAAATATTTTAAGCTTTATTGGTCACATGGACTGTTGTAACTACTCAACAGTGCTGTTATGACATACGGCACCTTTAGGCAACATATAAATAAGTCATGAGCCAATAAGACTTTATTTATGGACACTGAAGTTTGAATTTCATATAATTTTGATGAGTTATGGCATATTCTTCTTTTGAGTGTTTTCAGTCATCTAAAAATGTGAAAACTATTCTTAACTTATGAACCATACAGGTACAGGTGGCAAAATAAACTTGGTACATAGACTGTAGTAACTAACTCCTTTTGTTAATGAATTTTGGATCAAATAAAAAGAAAGCATTGTGGTTTTTTTTATTTTGGTAAGAATATTCCACTCCAGATTTGTGCCTAAATAGGTAGTCATCCACTACTACTTGAGTTGGTCTGAAGGCATTCTTTCAAACTACACTAAAATGATTAGTCAGATCCCCAAATTCTAACATGTAATACATTAGTTCAGGTGATAGTTTTAGCTACAGAAATTGAAAGATATAAGAAGGCATGGTTGTAAAGGTATCTGGGGTTAGTAGAGAGATTCAGAACCCAATGAAAATTTTCAGAAGTTACAAGTGACCAGAAGCAATCGGTTCCTCGGTGTTATTTAGGATGACCAGGGAAAATAGATCATTCAGTTGGACAAATTAGACTACTCGTGATCTTGGAAAGAACAACATGGGAGTGGCAGTTACACTGAACAGAATTAAGGAATGAGTAACACAGGCAAGGAAGACATAGTCTGGAAGTGTGAAGGGGTTAGAGAAAGTTTAAAGGACAGACAGTACTGAGGGAAGTAGAGATAAGTAGATATTTGACTTGTCTTTTATGCTTAATTTAGTAAACTTTGACAAGTGATAGTTTTTAGATCTATACTACATCATTTCTTTTAACAGAAAAATGTATCATGGTTATATAAGCCAATATAAAGATGTTTTAAAGCAATACCAACTAAAATACTCTGAAGCACCCCTTTCACGTGATTATTATGAGAAGAAAAGACAATATGAAGAAATTAAAAACCGAGTGTTGGCATGTACTGAGCAACTAAAAACAAATGAAATGATCCTTAAGGAATTTTTAGGTACTAATATTTTTGTTATATGTTACTTTATTATGGTACTTTTTAAATAAAAAATATAATCTCAACTATGACTTTGTTTTTCAGTGCCTGCACCCTTTCCATCACTTTCTAAGTGGACATTACATATGTATCCACAAAAGTATTGCCAATTATAATTTTATTAGATAAGTATTGTTTTTAATTTTTATTGTCTTTTCCTGGTGAGAATTCATGAATTTGTCTTGTTGTTACATTCTAGTTTTCAAGGTCACTTTAAAAGTGTTCTGGGACATGTTTCAACAAATACAGTATGCCCATGTGATCAAAAACAAGCTGTTTGAGTAAGACTAAAATGGTATACATATTTGGCATATCTTAGCAACCAAGCCAATGAAAAAGTTACCTTGATCTGTATTAATAAAGCAAGTCCCAATTAAAGGGTAAAAGGCAAAACTGAGAAAGAGTTTTGTTGCAAGGAATTTAAACTTCAGTAGGAGAGACACGTGAATAAATAATTCTAATTCAGTACCACTGTAATACCGTAGATCAGTGGTGATGAACCTGTGGCACACATGCTGGAGGGGAATGTTTGTATCATTGAAAGCTCTTAAGAGTTTCGCCATCACTGCTGTAGATGGTTAAGTAATTCTTAATTGATACAAGTCTCATCAGTTTGTCAGAAAGATGTTCTCTGATGATGATCTTGAAACTTTAATCCTCCTTCCATCTCAATGATGTTTGTATGCTTTCCTATCAGATTATTACTCCACTGTTTATGCTGTCTTTCTCCTTGTATTCTATCTTGCTTCTTGTGTGTTTCATCTTAAACCATTTTTATAGCTCCTCCTCTGCTTGCTCTTTTCCCATCTTGGTTTTAGCCTGTTCTGATTTTAGTTGTTCATTTGGTGCTTAACTGTGTATTAACTGCTTAGTGCAGCAATGGTAAACTTTGCCCAAACTGCAACCCAAAATGCACTTATTTATTTCAAAGTGCCAACACTGCAATTAAACCTGAAAACAGAGGTTTTGGTTTAGAAAATACAGTGTTACCTGATGCTCAGCTGCTAGGATAACTTGGCTTTCATGCCAACCGAGAAGGCTCTGCATGCCCACTGTGGCACATGTCTCATAGGTTCGCCACCACTAGTTTAGTGGCAAGGGTCAGAGGTTGATTGATGGCTGAAGATACAGCTGAGCTTTCAGGAGTTGCATGTGAGTTGAGATTAAAGTGCATGATGAGAAGTGATAGATGGAGGTAGGAAGAATTGAAGATTAGGATTTAAGTATCTATATCTAAAATTTTAAATTGATACTTTTGGTAATGATGTAACCTTATAAATTATATTCACATTTTTTGTTGGGCATATATGTCATTTTTTAAGACAGGATAGCAAAGGTCTGATATGTTTTCTGTAGAGTTCTTGTTAACTGTTCTATTCACTTTAAAATTCTCTTAAATGGGTTATAATTTAGGAAATTTTATTAGCAGTAACAATGCAGGATGTCTATTAATAGCTAAGAAGTTCTCTCCTTGAAACTGAATATAAACCCAGTTCAAACTGAAAGTCCAGATGAGCATTTTTCTAGATTCTGAAGGTTGTGTTGATGAATATTTTGCAGCAAGAAAAGGGAAATTAGGTAAATTTTTATGTTGAATTTGGAAAAAAATAATAGAAGCTTATCAATTATATTAGTCATGCCAAATGACACAATGAACTTGTTTAAGAAAAAAAAGCAAAATACCACTTTGTGAAAATATTTAATGAAAAGAAAATCATTCTAAGATTTTTCAGTGAAATATTACTTTTAAATTCAATATATAACAATAAATTATCTTTGTTAGTCTTCTAAATATTTATACTAGTCTTCTGTTTTCAGATACTGTTATTAATGTTTACATCTTACAAGGGACATGCTTAGAAGTAACATGATGTTATGTAACATCAACTATTTCTGATATAGCACATGTATTATAAATGTAAACACATATACTTGTATGACATAGTTCCTTAGCATAAAAAGAGTTAATTTGAGATTTAAAACAGAAGATATTCTTAAACATGCCAACAATTTTACCAAAAATTCATCTGAATTGGAAAAAGAAATAAATGAAGCAGAAATGGAAATTAATTCTTTAAACAAGGTATATGTTTATTATATATTTCTAATACTATATAACTGTTAATGTAATAGTATGCTAATAGTTTTAGAAGGGCTATTTTTAAGGAAACTTGTACATAGAGAAAGGCTAATTTATTTGCCTGTGATTACTGTTGAAGCCAAAATGTATTTTAGATACTGAATAGATTTAATTCTGAGTTTTGGGCAACAGTTGGCTTTCTTTGGGTTCTGAGGAAAGAAGATGAGCAAAGAACAAGGTGTAGCTTAGTAAACAGAATTTATTTACCTAATTTATGATGCAGTGGATTAAACTGAGGGCTTCACTTATGTTAGGCACACTCTTTGTTATAAAGTGATCCCTGCCTCCATAACAGGAATTTTAAGGCATTAAAAGAACAAAAATATTTTTTAAAAAGGAATCAAGATAATAATTTAAAGAATTTACTCTTGAAAATTTATAATGTTTAGAGAATTAGGCTAGAAATAGCATTTATGTATTTATTTATTTATTTTTCTGGTATCCGGGGTCGAACTCTCAACTTTGTACTTGCCAAGCAGATGCTTATGCCACTGAGCTAAACCCCTGGCTCTTAGAAATAGTTTTTAAGATTTTCATAAATGTAATTTTAGTATCATCTATTGAGTGTTCACATAGGTAGAAAAACCTATTAAAGTCACTTGCAGATTTTGAGGAATAATTGAATATTAGGAATACCTAATTTACTAAATTGTTTAAAAATTATGTTAAAGTGTATATATCACACTTATGAGGCACCAAATAACAGTAATATAATTTTAGAAATGAGATAAAAACAGATGCTATTTTCTTTATAGTAACTAGGTCCCTCTGATAGGAATCAATGTTTACCTTGCTTATGACCATTTTCTTTTTTTTTATGATGGGAATTTATTGAAATTTATATTTGCTGAGTTAGAAGTAAACAAAAGTTGAAGGGTGTATGTAAATTAGGGTTAATTTTTACTTTTTAGCCATTTTCAATAACAGTAAATACCCCCCAGAATATAAATCTTATATACTACTTCACTATGTAATTATTTTGCTTTGCTTTTCTGTTTTTCTTTTTAGGAGATTGAAAGACTTTATCAGAGTAAAAATCTTTCAGAAACTCTGGAAGAAAGCAGCAGAAATACAGAAAAGAAAGAGAAATTGAAAGAAAGGTACAAGTAAACTTTAAAATTCTACCCTAATACAAGTTTTTGGGAAAATTTTATTAGTATTTTATGAAATGTAGTAGCTTACATACTTAAATATATGAACTAATATTTACATCTGCTCGTTACTTACTTAGGCCAGGGATATTGTATAGAGAGAGTAAGGTAGCAACAACGCATCTGTTCTGTAACTTGTCAGCATGTAATTTATCCACTTTTTTATAGTAGGTCAGCGATCAAAGTAAATAGGAAAAGCAGTGGTGGAAACAGTAATGTCTCTACCTTTTTATCACCCTGATATCAGCTTGACTATTTTTTCCCTTATCATGAAGAGTGAAGATGAGCCCACACGTGCTACTAAATCTGCTGCATCATACATTTTCTTGTCTTTTGTCCTAATTGTGAGAACACAGACATTAGTGATAGAGGCATTGAAAAAAAAGCTAATTTTATCCACTATTGTTTAAGAGAAAAATGGATATATTATTGTTGTTTCTGATCAACTTTCTGTTTTTTATTTTCTATATGTGCTACCTACCTTTTTCTTAAATTTCATTCCTCAAGTTCTATTGCTGCCTTCTGATTTTCCACAGACTCTTAGTTAATTTCCCTAATGCCATTTCCCTGGATCTGTCATCTACTCCCTTCCTCCACCCAGCCAGGTGGTGCTGGAGATTGAATCCAAGGCCTCATGTGTGCTCAGCATGCACTTTACCACTGAGCCACATCCCCAGCCCTAGTATCTCTTACTGTCTTGATTCCTCACTTCCACATATCACATATAGGCAAATATATACAGAATTTACAGAAAGTAAAAAGTTTACAAAAAGTAAAAATTTACAGAAAGTAAATTTTTTTCCTTCTTCCGTCCCTCCCCGTCTCTGTGTCTCTCTCTGTCATTCTCTCTCTCTGTCTGTCTCTATCTCTGTCACATTCTCTCTCACACAAGGTCTTGCTCTGCAGCCTAGACCAGCCTTCTACTTACAGCAGTCTTGCTACCTCAGCCTCCTGAATATTGGAATTACAAGTATGCACTGCCACACATGGCTTATCAATGATTTAATATAAAAAGTTCGAACATTGAATGGGACTTAACATAAATTTTTAGTCACTTTTTACTCAGGGTATGTAGTAGTCCCCCCTCATCCATAGTTTTGCTTTCTGTGTTTTCAGTTATCTATGATCAACCATGGGCCAAAAATGTTAAATGAAAAAATCCAGAAGTCAACATTTAAACTGCACGTTTTTCTGAGTAGTATGATGCAGTCTCAGTGCCATCCTGTCCTGTCCTGTCCTGCCTGGGATATGAGTCATCCCTTCATCTGATGTACCTATACTGAATATACTGCCTGCCTGTTAGTTAGTGGTCATGTTATATGACTAACTGTTGTGGTATCATGGTGCTTGTATTTAAGTGACCCTTATTTTACTTAAAAATGCTCCCAAAGCACAAAGAGTAGTGACACTGGAAATTTGAATGTCAGTGAGAAGCTGTGTTTGTTAGTTCATTTTTCTTTCCTCCCCTCCTCTCCCCCTCCCCCTCTCCTTTCTTCCTTCCTTTATTTTAGAAAAGTACTTTCTTTAAGTGACAATTTAAGTTAGCAATTAAAGATATCTTTAAGATATCAATTTAAGAAAGAAAACTATCATATGCTTAGGTTGCTAAAATGAGATTGTGAGGGGAAAAAATTCATGCTGCTACATTTTACACTGCAAAAGGTATAATCACAGTGTGTCCACTGTGTAGGTCCTAAGTTAGAAAAAGCATTGCATTTTTATATATATAGGAAATAATATATTTAGTGTTTGGTACTGTACATGGTTTCAGGTATCTGCTGAGGAGATACTGATGTATTTTGATAGTGTTTATTCTACTTATTTGATTTAGGAAACAATTCAATGAAATTATTCTTCCAGTGAAAAATTTAAAAGACAGTTACATTGCTTTAATGATTTCTGTATTCATCCTAGTTGGAATTTTTCCAAATGAATCTTTTTAAAGCTTAAAGTACTCTGAAATGTAAAACATGTTATTTAGGGTTAAAGCTTTGACTTTTTTTTAATTTTTAGATAGGGTCTCACTATTTAGTTCAGGCTAGCCTTAAACTCTTGGCGGTCCTTTTCCCTCAGCCTCGTGGGTACTTGAATTACACGCATGTGCTATCACACCTGGCTTAAAATGTTTCTGATCTGTTTAAAAAGCATATTGTTTTAAAAATAAGAGTGTGGTATACTGAGTAGAGGATTGGACTTGATCAGGAAAAGTATATCTTAGCTCTGACATGACTACTAAGTAAGTTAGTAGTATTGGTCAAGTCTGTTAAATTCTCTGAAACTCAGTTTCATTACCTGAAAAATGAAGTATTTTAAATATATTCATATATTATCTAAATATCCCTTCCAACTTTAAAATTATAATTTTTACTTAGCTAATACTGAATGTAATCTATTCTTCTCTTCAGAGTTTGTGAAAAAAATGAGCATATATTCAGTAAAACTCCTCAAGGAAGTCAATTATATCTGTCCTATGACTCTCAGAAATCAGTAAGACAAATAAAGATGCAGTCTTCAGAACCAGAAGTTACAGGTACAGAATTATTATTCAAAAACTTTTTTATGTACAAACACAAGAAGAAACAAAAGGAAGTAATTTATCTATCACATGATGTAAGCAAGAAGAAACAATATTGGAGACTTAGAGACTCTAAGGAAGGTACCGCTTTGTATCTTTATGAAAGCAAACAAGTTGTGTTTTGTATACTGTTTTTTCTCTGTGAGAAAGAGAACATTCAGATAATGTATTTTAAAGAAATGTTCTGGTATAGTCCCACAGCTGTCAGACAGGATGAATTATTACATATTCTTCATTTTTGGAGTTGTATTGTCAGTATACGTGATTCAAGTGAGTAGGAAACTTGTGTTATTACTATATTTGTAATTCATCACTGAGATGTTCAAGTAAGATTTCATTCAAGGGCTTTTCAGATTAGAGTATCACACTGTGTAACATTGACTACATTAGTTGTTTTCTTTGCATATATCACTGTTGTGTTTTCTTTGGTTATGCATTATAAAAGAGTAGTTTTATCAGTTGGCCATTTTGTTGTTTCATGTTCGTAATTACTGTGTGAATTAAGAATTTCAAAATAATTTCATAATTCTGTGTTTTATTTTAAATTTAGTATTAACATAGATTTGATTCTCTGAATTAGAAGTTTAGGTTAGATGTTGGTGATGGTAGATAAATGTTGGCAATTAGGCTAAATGTTGGAGTTTAGGTTAAATGTTGTAGAGCTCAACTTACAGGTGTGAGGCCCTAGATTGAAGCCTCAGCAGAAAAAGTTGAGGTTCTGTCTGATTCTGTTTTCATAATTGACCTGAAGTAGTACTATTTAACAATCTAGATAAAAAAGAAGAAATTTCTGTGAAGCAGTCACAGCTTGCCAACACTGACTTCAGACAAAAAGAACATAATACACAGGTAGGTATTTCTTTTTTAATTGTATAAATCAAAAGCATGCTTACATTAAATGAGATAATGTGCTGCTCTTAGGACTCAGGTGTGTGTGTGTGTGTGTGTGTGTGTGTGTGTGTGTTTTCAATAGGTTAAATTAGCCATTAGTATAACCTCAGGCTCTAAAAAAATTAAAAACAATTTCAATATGGCATTCAGAATTTATATTGAAACCTGCTTCTTTACCTTTAAAAATGAACAATAGAAAAGATGTTTGAAAATTTCAAGCTGTATATCTGGTAGACCAAAAGTTATGATAAATCTCTGAGGGATGAAAAGATTGGTTTGAAGAGGAAAATTGTAGTTGTGGGTATGCATAAGAGCTTCCACAGGCAAAGGCTTAGGGAAATGAATAGTGTGATTTGTGGGCTTACCTTAATGGAAGTTTGGTTAGTTAATCCATTTTAACCCCACATCTACTTTGTCTTTGATCAAGCATCAGCAATAGGATGGTTGTCTCCAGGTTAGAAGTGAATGTGAGAGCTTGGGTGAGAGATAGACTGGCACTGTAGGTAGTACTTGATGCATGTGAAAAGCAAGGAACATGCCACCCAGAAAGTTAACTGCTAATGTTACAATCTTTATTCTCCCTATTTTCCCTAAAACAGTCCAGGAAGAAATCCTCAATAAAAAATATAAATTGTGTTTCTACTAACTCATGGTTAATTAACATAGATACAGAGCAATGGTAACTAAAGTAATTAATGAGACAAATCTATTAACTCTAACAAATCTATTAACTATTAAGATTAAAATTCTAGCAGTAAAATTCTAAGGATTTCAATATGAAGTGAGAGTATATCTCTCACTCTATACAAAAAAAAAAAAACAAAAATGAATCAAACACATATGTATAAGACCTGAAACTTTGAAACTGCTAAAAAATATAGATGGTAGCCTGGAATCTCTAGGTACTGCCAAAAATTTCCTGACTATGACTCCAATAGCTCAGGAAATAATAAAAACCAACAAATAGGACTACTTCAAATTAAAAACATCTGCACAGCAAGGAAAACCACTAATAGAGTGAAGATATGGGAAAAATATTTGTCAATATCTCTTCTAACAGACAATCTCTAGAATATATAAAGAACTAAAAACAAAACCATTAACCCCCCAGTCAAACAACCTAATAAATGGGAACTGAGTAGAACAGACACACAAATGGCCAATATGTAAAAAAAAGCATTCAACATCTTTGGCTGTTAGGGAAAATGTAGATCAAAACTACATTGACAATCTCATTTCATCCCAATTAGAATGTCTGGCAAGAACGAAGGGAATGGAAAGCCTCCTATGCTGCCAATGAGAATTTAAATTAGTGCAACTACTGTAGTATTCAGAATGGAAGTTCCTAAAAAAATTTTTAAAATAGAGCTACCATTTGATTTAGCTATCATGCTCATTGGTACACACCTAAAGGAATTAAAGTCAGTATACTTTAGGGATATCTACATAAGCATGTTTATTGAAATGAAATTCACAATTGCCAAGACATGGAACTATCTTAGGTGCCCATCAGCAGATGAATGAATAAAGAAAATGTATGTATATACATACATTTTCAGCCATAAAGAAGAATGAAGTGTTGTCATTTGTAGGAAGATGAATGGATCTGAAGATGATCATGTTGAGCAAAATGAACCATTCCCAGAAAGACAAATATCACATGTTCTCTCTAATATATGGCATCTAAAAAATATAAAATAGATGGGAGTCTACTAGACAAGCGGAAGGGAACGAGGGGAGGAGGATGTAAGGATGAGTATGGGGGGGTATAGAAACATCCTCTCAAATATGAGACTGGAACAATACATGGCAAGAAAGTGATGGGAGGGAAATATGATCAAAGTATGTTATCTGCATATACAGATCTGCCAAAATGAAATTCATTAATCTGTATAACTGATATGCTTTAAAAAGACATGAAAAAATAGAATGAGGGGAGAAAGATAAAAGGGAAAACAAGTTTGCTACTTTTGTAGGGTCAGAGGTAGGGAAAAGAATGAATATTGATTAACTATAAACATTTTAAATTTATATATGGATATTAAATATGGGTAACCACCAAAATAGAAACGGAAAATGGAAATTTAAAACAGGAGAAAGATAAGTAAATTGGATCAACAAGAGACGAGAATGAGGGAGATGTAGAACAAGCAGAAAGCATTTACAACTGGCCATGGTGGTACACTCCTGTCAGCACTTATGAAGGTTAAGTAGTAGAATGTAAAGTTCAAGCTTGAGTCTGAGACAGATAAATCTTTCCTCTTTTAACTTTGAACATCCTGCATTTTGATGCATGAAATTGTGGGAGTGTAGCCAAAATGCAGTTGAGATCCTGGTAAGTTGGTAATTCAAGAAACATGGAATGTCAGTAGAGGAAAACCCTATACTGAAAAGACATACAAGCAGTTCGAGTCCCTTGGAGCTGACATCTTGCTACAACCTGCCCTGGGTGCTGGACACAAAGCTACAAGATTTAATGCTCTTTGGAAGGGGGCTTGTTTGGAACAGATGTGTCACTGGGGCATGACCCGTAAAAGTGTATTCTCCTTGGTTCCTTGCTCTTCCATCACATCTGTTCTGCCTTGGTGCTGGCAAACCATTGACTGAGCCCATTTAAACTTTGAGCCAAAATAAACCTCTTCTCCTTTTTAAATTGTGTGTTGGGTATTTTATCCTAATATGTTTACTATAAATGAAAAAATACTAGCACAAGTCGTTACTTTTTGTCAAGTATTTGACAAAAAATCAAGTCTCTTGGGAATCTTGAGGGTTTTTGTTTGTTCCCAGTGTTTTTTGTATGTTTATGTTTTGTGTATAGAGGTTTCAGTGAATGTTTGTGCTTGTTGATATTGATGATGATGGTGATAATGATAGTGATAATGGAATTAATATTGAGTGGAATGGCATTAACATTAGTATTGAGTGCCTTACGTAGCTGTGGCAAATTTTTATTGTTTTATTTATTGATTCTTAGTGCTTAATTTTTTTCAGGTATTTAATGACTCTGATGTGAATAACAATTCACATGTTACAACTTTTAAAAGTGGAAATGATTTCATGCAATTAAGGTAACTTTATAAAATAAAATGTTTAGGGTCTGGGAATGTAGCTCAGTGGTAGAGTGCATACATAGACTGCCTACATAAGGTAGACGCTGGGTTTGAGGTCCAGCACCACCAAAACCAGCTTTAATTTTTGAGTGATTTATAACTATCAACTGAAAAGAAACAATATAAAACTTATATTTTTTGCATTTTAGATTAACTCTACAGAAACAGTCAAATTACAATCAGTGGTTTGAAAAAGGACATACAGGTATTTAGTCATTTTTTTTCTTGAGTAGCAAATTATATCGGTTTTTATATTATTCAAATAAATTGTTCTGATTGATTGACTCTAATGTTAATGCATACCTAGCTTTAAAATAAAATTTCCCCTAAATATAAAATGAATAATTTTTGTTGAAGAAAAATTGGAAAACAAAGACACTTATAAGGAATAAAACATTTCCATCCAATATAACTGACAATATGTATACTGGTGTATAATCTTTTTGTGCATGTGTATGTTTTGCTCTTTCCTCCTAAGTTTGGGTCATACTATAAACATAACTTTGTATCTCTTTTCCTGTTTGATCAACTATTCAGATTATTTCTCCTTGTCATTAGTTATTTATAATGATTGTATAATGTTTCTTATGTGAATATGTCACAGTTTATGTTCCCATTCTCTGACACTTAATATTTTGTTGTTTTTAGTTCTCCTATTCATTGTAAATAGTGATACCATATTCTTTTTTACTAGTCTTTTACTATCTTGGACTGTTTTCTTTGAATAAAGTCATGAAAGGATCACAGAATATATACATGCATTTATAATTACTAAATCAGCTAGCTGTTGTAGCTTTCCTGCATCTTTGAAAATACTAATTGTCTCTCTTTCCATATATATATGGATATTTATATATATCAGCATACACAATAATATGTATCATCTACCATGCATATATGTTTTATATGTATCATATACCATGCACATATATTTTGACAAACCTATTAAGGCATAACTATTGTTTCATTTATTATGCTATGGAGAAGTTTTCACCTCTTCTGGCTTTACTAGCTTTTTTTTTTTTGGTACTGGGGATTGAACTCATGATCTTGCGCTTGCCAGGACAGGGGCTTACGCCACTAAACTGGCCTCTTGCTGGCTTTTATTTTAAAAATTAAGAAATGCCTCATTCTATAATCCATGAAAATTCGGTGAATGCATACATATCCAAAATAGTGATATACTGTGAGTTCATTTCTTTCAGACTGTGTGGGATTCACCCAGTACAATATACTTACTCCACACAGATGAATAATCTCTCTGGTTTTTTGCTTAACATCAGTGTAAGTGTTAAGAAGCCCCTATCTGTGCCAAATTGACAATGTTAGATAAGGAGGAAGAGCTATAGTCTAGGAACAGTGCACCTCAGCACTGAAATATGGAGAAATATGGAGAAATACGACTGGTACATGAGCATATTTAGTGCATGTGATTATTTGGAAAAAGCAACCTTTAAACCTATGACTTGAAGACATTAATATGTGGTAAAAAGAAATAGTTATGATGTAAATTTGAGAGGCAAAATTATAAAGCTTTCAGAAGATCAAATGGAAAAACATCTTCATGGTATCACAATAGGGAAGGCTTTCTTAAACAATTAAAAAGAAAAATTGATGAATTTGGCTATATTAAAATTCTTTTTATCAAAAGATATCATTAAAAAGAGTGAGTCCCCAAAGGATGTATTTATAGTACATAAAATCATCAAGAGTAGTTACAGATTAAGAAGAAAAAGGCAGACAACCAAGTTAGAATTATGTACAAATATGTGATATTTGAAAAAAGAAAATAAATATATGAAAAATGCGCATCAAATTGTGGAACCGCAAAATAAAACCACAACGAGATATCATACATCCATCAGATTAGCATCACTCAAAAAATCTATTAAATTTTGATGTGGATAAAGAGCAGTAGGAAACTCTCAAAATATTGGTAGGAACTATTCTTGATAAATAACTACATATTGAGGTTATGCCTGAGTTACAGTTTGAGCTGATAATTTTGCCTGGTGAGATCAAATGTTTTCTAGGATGAGTAGTTGTCATAAAATTTGATACAACTACTTTGTTCTTTAAAAAAATTTTTTTATTAGTACATGTTTGCCATTTATAGAGCTGACATTCACTATAGGGAGTTTGTACGTGGACATAATATATTTTAAATCATCTTTTTCCACTGTTCCACTCCCATTCTTTCAACCCTTTCCCTCTAAATTTACAGCCGTATTTCCATTTTTCCTCTTCCATTCTTTTTTTCTCTTCCTTCCTCATGCCTCTTCTTCTTGTTCCCTTCCCATTGGAACATATTCTTCCTACTTCCCAATATTTGTCCTCCATTTTGCTCCTCGTTTACCCTTTGAGTTTCTCATACAAGAGAAACAATGTGATTTTTAAACTTGTGTGTCTTATTTCATTTAAAATTATGATCTTGAGGTGCATCCAGTTAGCTACAGATTGCTCAAATTTATTCTGTATGGCAGGGTAGTATTCTATTGTATATAAATACCACATTTTCTTTATGAATTATTGACAGATGGGCATGTGGGCTGTTACCAAGATTTAGCTATTATAAATTGTGCTGCTATAAACATGAGTGTGCATATATCATTGCAGTATGATGCTTTTACTCTTTAGAGAAGATACTTAAAGGAGAATAGCTGGGTCAAATGGAATCTCTAGTTTTAGTACTGATTTCCATAGTGGTTACATCAGTTTATACTCTCACCAACAGTGGAAAAGAGTTCTTTTTTCCCCACAGCCTCGCTAAAATTTCTTATTGGTTGATTTCTTAATGATAGCCTTTCTTTCTGGAGTGAGATAGAATCTCTGTTGTTTTATTTTGCATTTCTTGAATGACCAGTGATGATAAACATTTTTCATTTAGTATTTTTGCTGATTGTACTTCCTCATCTGAGAAATGTGTGTTCATTTGAGATGTCCACTTTTGGATTGAGTCTTTGAAAGTGGGGGGAATCTGATCTTTTGGAATTCTTTTTATATTCTAGATATTAGTCCTTTGAAGAGTAGCTAGTGAAACTATTTTCCCATTTTGTGCTTTGTCTTTTCACTTTGCCAGTGGTTTCTCTTTCTGTGCAAAAGCTTTTAAATTTGATGTGTTTCCAGTTGCTGTTTCTTTATATTTCCTGTGATAAAGTTTTGTTCATAAAGTCTTTGCCTGTACCTATGTTTTCCAGGGTTTTAACTGTTCCATCTTTCAGCAAATTAAGTGCTTCTGATGCTACCTTTGATCTGTCTTGATTTTAGTTTAGAATGTGGTGAAAGATACAGTTGTCATTTCAGTCTTTGGCATATGGAAAGTGAGTTTTCCAGCACCATGTATTACAGAGGCTTTCTTCCCGTGAAAGTTTGGCCACTTTGTCAGAGTTAAAGGTAGTTGAATGTGTATGGAGTTATTTCTGCATCTTCTGTTCCAGTGATCATTGGATCTAGTTGTTGTGGCTTTTTTTTTAAACCAGTACCATGCTGTTTTTATTGTGATATTTTTGAAGTTCCTTCAAATCTGGGATTGTGATGCCCTCTACCTTGCCTTTGTTGCCCAGAATTGGTTTTGACATTCTTGGTCTCTTCTGGTTCTATATGAATTTTAGGATTGTTTTCTGTAGTTCTGTGAGTTATGCTCATTGGTATTTTGATTGGGAATGCCTTAAATCTGTATAATGCCTTTGAAAGTGTAGCCATTTTCATTACTGTGTTTTAATTCTCCCTATTCAAGAACAGAGGGTATCTTTCCATTTTCTGATCTCCTAGTTGAGCTCTTTTATTTTTATTTTAAAGAGAAAAACAATAAAACTGGTACAAAATTGCAAAACAAAATAGTAAGAGAGTAACAATGGTTAATACATTGTGTATTGTTATTTTCAAAGTAGTTGCTCATATTACAAGATATAGGCATGAAAAATTGATTGAACACTGTAAACAGAAATCTTTCTTTTCAGTGAACTAATAGAAATTAATAGTATAAGTATTTTAACTACCATATATTTTTCCTTTTCCCTTTGATTTCCTTTTTAAAGTGTAGTATGGTTTTCAATGCAAATGTCTTTTTTTTTAAAAAAGGAAAAAAATGATACAGAATTAAAAAGGAAAATAGCACTAGTTAATATATTGCGTATTATTTTAAAAGTAGTTATTAATATTTCACTTTAATGTTGGATTGATTTCATTTTTCTTGATGCTGTTGTAAAAGGTATTGTTTTCCTAATTTATCTCCCAGTTTGTTATTTGTGTACAGAAGTGCTATTCATTTCTGATTGTGGATTTAATATCTTCCTGTGCTACTGAATTTGGTTATTAATTCTAGGAGTCTTTTGGTGGAGGTTTTGAAGTCTTGTATGTAGAGTATCACGTCATCAGAAAATAATGATTTAACTTTTTCCTTTCCTATCTATATTCCTTTTATTTATTTCTCCTAATTTCTCTAATGTTTTTATGAACTGTATTGAACAAGAATGGTTACAGTGGGTATTCTTGTCTTGTTCTTATTTTAGAATGAAAGCTTTCAGTTTTTGACCATTTAGTATGATGTTGGCTGTTGGTTTGTCATAGATTTTTTAAAATCAGATTGACATAAAGACCTTGTAGTCTAATTTTCTGTAGAGTTTTTATATAAATAGGTGTTGGGCTTTGTCAGATGCTTTCTTTGTATCTATTGAGATGATTGTATGATTTTTATCCTTGGCACTGTTAATATGGTGTATTACATTTATTGATTTATGTATGTTGAACTATCCCTGCATCTCTGGGATGACTCCCACTTGATCATGGTGTGTAATCTTTTCAGTGATTTACTGCACTGTCTTTGCCAGGATCTTATTGAGGATATTTTCATTCATGTTTGTTATGGAGACTGGCCTGTAGTTCTTTTTTATTTGGATCCTTCTCTGGTTTGAGTATCAGGGTAATGCTTCTAGGAGTGAGTTTTGGAGTACTGCTTCCTTTTCAAGTTCATTAAACAGTTTGAGAAGAGTGAGAGTAGTGGCGTTAGTTCTTCTCCAGATTCTTGTAGAATTGAGCAATGATGCCATCAGGACTTGAACTTTTCTTTGTTGGCAGTTTTTAAAATTATTTATTTAATTTAGTTAACTTACTGGGTTATTTAAAATCTATCTCCTTGATTTAGTTTTTGGTACTTCATATGTGTCTAGGATTCTGTTTATATCTTCTGAATTTTCCTCATTAGAGGATAGGTTCTCAAAGTAGATGCTCATAATCTGGATTTCTGTAGAATCTGTTGTGATTTTGCCTTTTTCATTCCTAATTCCATGGATTTGGGTCTTTTCTTTCCTTCTTTTTGATAAGTTTGTCTAAGGGATTGTCTGTCTTGTCTTTCCAAGAACCAACTGATTCATTAGTTCTGAACTACTTTGGAACAAAGTTTGGCATTTGATTTTGGGACATACACATACTCTGTATCACATACTGTATACACATGGAGAAATACAAGTACATCCATACAAGGATATATGTAAAAGATTGTTACATAAAAAGTTTGAGTAGCTTCAACAGTACACATTTGCAATAGAATACAGATATATTGTACATAGTATTGTGTTTGTACAATGGAATGCTTCAATTACTAAGAAAATATGAACACATAGAATAATAGGGTGATTCTCACAAGTGCATACTAAACAAAAAAGAAAGACATGATAGCACATACATGAAATTTTAACAGGTAACATTTTAAATTGGACATGTAAAATGTATTGTAGTAAAGCCATATAAAACAAATTAGGAAGCAGTTATCACAAAAGTCAGAATATGGGTTACCTCTGAAGAGGACATAGAATATGAGACTTTTTGGAGTGTTCATGATGGTCTGTTTCTTTATTTGGGTGGTGACTATTTTACAATTTTTGATTGTTAAACTGTTCATATTTTATTGTCTTATTTGTATGTATCAAGATGAACTATCTGACACTGCCATTTTTTAGGTTCAAACAGTTAAATGTGACCAATTTCATATAGTCAACATGTTTTATTTTACAAAAAAATACAAAAACAAAAAAGTTTTTCTTATGTAACAAACAGATGCTAAATGTGAAGATAAATGGACACAAAGACAAATAAGAGAATCAAAATGTGCTTCACAAGTAAGTCAAGTGTTTGACTTCTAATTTCTAAGCAAAAAGTTATGATTTAAGCATATGTTCATTTTAATTTCAGGTTTAATACAGTGAGCATATTTACATGAGATGTGAATAGGTTGGTATTCAGATTTCTAGAGAGTTACAAATTATATTTTTCAGATTAAAAATTGAAACTACAAGTATGTAAAAATATACAAAAATTTTCACTAATAAGTGAGATTACAAGTAAATCATGATTGAAGAAGACAGTTTTATTTGTTAAGATTGAATGATGTGCCATGCTAACTGAAGACCAGAGATTACCATAAAAGTATTTTCAAAGTGTTTTTGAATAGTGGATGCTTTAATGATATTAGATGTAGACAATGTACATCAAGTTTACACTAGCTACAAAAAAACATAATAAATTGTGTTAGTCATCCATCTGTTACCAGTGTTCTACAATAACAAGTACCTGAGATAATGAACTTATGAAGAGAGAAGATTTACTTGGCTCGTTTTCAGTATATAATTGATTGACCCTGTTTCTTGTCCCTACCTGAAAATAGTAGATAACAATCGGAAAAGACTAAAACTGATATAGAAAAATGTTTAGGAGTAATTTCTCTTTTAAAATTCCACATTATACTGTTAGTGAAGAATTATATATGCTACTTCCTTGTACAAAAAAGCAATTTATTTTTAATCTATCTTGCTCTCATGGATTTATGCTATAATTTGAACTTGAAATATCCCCTAAAAACTTATATTATACAGGCTTGATTTGGTAGTTCCTGATGGTAAGAGTGCATGGTGGAATAAAACTACTAACCCTTTGGCTGAGAAATGACAGGAAAAGACTAGGGTTCCTCAGTCACCTTGCTGGATAGGCCCCACATAATCTGAAGACCTCCCACTAAGCCCCGTCTCTTTAAAGTCTCTGCCACCTCCCAAAAGCACTGTGTTGGGATCAAGCCTGTATAATATAGATCTTTAGGGGATATTTCAGGTTCAAATTATAGCATAAACCAATGAGAGCAAGATTGCTTAAAAATAAATTGCTTTTTTCTTCACTAAGACTATAATTTATATAATTTATATAGAATTTATATAATTAATATTATATAATTAATTATATAATATTTAATTATAATTATAAATATTATATATTAATTATATATTATATAATATATAATAAATTAATTATAATTTATATAATTAAAATTATAATTTATATATATTATATTATATATTATATATAGAATTTATATAATTAAAAGAATTTATATAATTCTTCACTAAGACTATATTTTTTCTGTATCAGTTTCAGTCTGTTTCAGTGTTATTTACTATTTTCAGGTAGGGACAAGGAAATGAACTTGGAAGAAAATAAAAATAAAGTAATTAAAAGTAATTATTTTTATATTTTTTTAATGTATGTTCTTAGTATCAATTGACCAATTATTCTTATTTTAGTTATCTCTGAAGTAATACCATTAATAAGATGCTTCCCACCTTGCTTTTACATATGTAATTTTATTAATGTAGTAATTAATGTTCAGTCTTACCATTTTCTGTTACTTTGAATTTGCAGGATATATATACAGAACCTTTTGGAAAGTCAATAGAAAATAATAGTGACAAAGTAGAAGAAATGGCTGAGAATTTTCCAAAAACTCCTGAAATGCCTTTATTTTTAAGAACTTCTGAAGCTGTAAAGACACCTGAATCTTTGGAAAAAATGCATCTCCCTAAAACTCCCTTATTTGAAATGTAGGATTTTAATTACTATTATAAATTATACATTGAGTTGTATGAGCAATTTATAAGAATAGTAAAATAAGAATAGTAAAATTTATAAGAACAGTAAAAGCCTAGTACCTGTAACTTGGAAAAGTTTTCATTATGGAATATATATGTAAAGGAGAGATTTTTGTAATGAACTTCCATGTACTTTTCACCCTGTTTGAACAATTACTGATGTTTTGTTCTTCCTGGTTTATTTATAGAGCATTCTCATTTTTTCAGCAGTATATGCCAAAGATAATATATATACTGAGTTTTTATCCACTGAAACAGTACATAGACTTGATTTCCCAAAGTATACAAAAAGTGGAAATCTTAAATGTCACATTAAAGAGCTCCTGTCACCTATTGTGGGCTTATCACTGAATAATGTTCTAGCAGTCATTGTTTGATGTGGTGTAGTGTTTAAAGCAAGAACTGCCATTATGCTAACCTTTTTAGGTTTAACTATCACTAATTGTGACTAGTTTAACTTTGAAAACCATAGAGTTTTTGTTTGCAGCCAAGAAAATAATGTTGCATTTAATTTCTTTTAATTAGTTCAGTATCTTCCTTGACACTGACCCTTCAGGTTTCCTGAAAACATATGTCAAATAGATTTCACTTCATTAGGAATCTTTCACTTGTATCCTATTTCTGTACTTTAAGTTGCTTGTAAATTGTATGTATAAATCCTCTGCTTTGTCTCAAACTCATTATGTTCAACAAGGAAGTCATCATTAAATCTGAGAACTATAAAAGAATGTCAGCTCACATGCTAAAACCTCTATCCCTGGATGAGAAAATTATGATCCATAAATGTTAAGTGAGTCACTTACGATCACAAAGATAGTTAGGGCAGAATCACATATTCATTTGTCCAGTCATTGATTCATTTGTTCATTTATTCATTCATCTAGTGCAGGGACTTTAACCCAAAGGCTGGTGCCCACTAAACATGGACCAGACTACTGTCCAGCCTGTATTTTAAAAACATGAAACACTATAGGCAAATCACTGTTCTAGATAATTTATTAATACTGCTCATTTAGTATTCACAATTTTATGAATTGTAATACATTAATAACTTTGTAGATAAGAAAACAGAATCATAAGTGATTACAAGTAGTCGATGTTAAACATAGAGATTTAAACTCAAATAATTCTGACTATAGAATCTATATGTCTAATCACCAAGTTATAGACTTGTCTAATTATTTTTCCCACTTTATAGTTTTAACTTTCTTACATAAAACTCTGTAATGGCTGGCTTCTCATCTAAGACACACCGTGTGATTAGATTTCAAGATCTTGAAGACATTATCAGGATTAAGAGCTTAGTCTTTGAATCTAGGTTGCTGCATTCAGATACCAACTCTGGTACTTACTTTTTGAGCAAATCACTTAACCTTCTGTGCTTCAGAATCCTTTACCGTAAAATTTACTGTAAATGGCAAACTTTTTAACTATAAAGTAGTACCTATTTCATAGAGTAACTGTGAGAAATAAGTAAGTTATGCTTATAACTAAAGTAGTGCCTGACATTATATTCTTAGTGCATAGTCATAATTATTACCTCCAAGAAGATTTTTGTGCATTCTACACCTAAATCATTCATTCTTCATAGCTTTGTCTCTTGAATAATTACTCGCTACTTTTCCCTGCTATGTTAATTCTTACTTTTCTACCATTGCTTTTGTTGCTTAGTAATCTGCAGTGTTTAATAATAGATTTATAACATTGGGATGATAACATTTTTAAAATCTCTCTGTAACAGAAATAGAAATACAGTGCCTGGAAGTCAGTCACAAACGGAATCTCCTGGATTTTCATTTCATGCAAGTTACAGTTCTAGATCTCCTGGGTTGAATTTATTTGATTCTTCTATATTTGATTCGGAAATGTCGTCAGATGAGGTAAAATGAAAACCTAAAGTTTTATTTCTAAAAATTGTAACTTAGAACCTTAGGTAATTTTAGTTCTTTAGTACCATACTTTTTTGGAACACAGAATACCAACAGAGGCCATTTAAAAATTCTGAGCATCAAGCTGGGGAATAGCTTAGTGGTAGAGTACTTGCCTTGAGTACATGAGACCTTAGGTTTTATCCTCACCCACTCCGTACATGTGTGCACATATACACTTGAGTTTTAATAGTAGAACAAAGTTCACCATTATCTTTTTGTTTTTAACCTCAAATGCCCCAAACTTACATTTTTTTTTCTTTAAAAAATTTAAGGTAAGGAAGATTTAAAATGCAAGTAAAGGCAATTTAAAATTAATTTGTTCTTAAAAGTAATGTGGCAAAGTTCTAAACAACATATTCTCAAAGTGAAAACAAACTATATATTCTCAGTCAACTTCCCACTAACATCATAGATGCATCTTTTTAATGTAACGTATATACATGGCATTACATTGTAATGTACTACATACATTACATTGATTAATTTTAAAAGATTTAAGAATTTCCTTCTCGTTTTCTACTTTTCAGTGATGTAAATCATGGTAAAGTGTTCACTTCTGTAGTTAGCCATTAAACCCAACAATTAAGATATCTTTATTTGAAAAGTAGAGACAATGTACTATAGTGATTAAAACGAGACTTAGGGGCTGGGGATTTAGCTCAGCGGCATAAGCGCCTGCCTTGCAAACAGGCAGTGATCAGTTTGATCCCTGGTACCGATAAAAACGAAAAAGATAAAAAAAACAAAACAACAACAACAAAAAAAACGAGACTTAGAAGCCACATTATTTGGATATATACTGAATGTGGAATATTGAATAAGCAAGTCTGTTTCCATGTCTGTAAAGTGGAAATGGTAATATTGTTACCATAGAGTTAATTAATATTAAATGAGTTTATACACATAAAGTACTTAGAAAAGCACCAACCACTTAATAAGTAATAGTGTAGTATAAAATTCTATTATTATTATTTTTAAAAAATTCTATTATTTAAATTATCCATATTTATCCATTTTTATGACTTATAATTTTATACCCCCACAATATATTATATTGTTTAAAATGAAAATGTCTTTATAATTGATATAGAATATCATTTCATGCCTTCAACTTTTATCTTTATTTTTATTGAAATACTTATTTCAAAAATGATTCCTGCAAGGGATGCTAAACATAAAAAAATAGGATACAGTTACTCCTTTACAGCATGAGTATAAAATTAATGTTACATAATCTTAATAGAAAGTATGCATATTTTGAGTAAAGAAAACTCCAAAAGTACTGAGAAAATATTTATACAAAGATACTGAAGTACTTGTATAGGAAGAAAGTATTATAAAGATGAATTTCTTCTCAATAATTTATTAATGTAATCCAATTTAGACCCAATACTGGTAAGATCATCTTTAATTTTTGTGTGTGTGTGTAGTGGTTGGCTGGAGAAGGCGATTAGCCAGATAAATGATAAGCTTCTTAGGGAAAAGTGGTCAAGCATGATTAAGACAATGTTCAAAAAATTAGATTGGTAATAATTAAAATGTAATTCCAAAAAACTCTTTAATGCAAAAGAAGGAAGAAAAAAAACCAAATTAGTAGCAAAATGTAAAGAGAACAGACACCAACAGTAAAATGTCAGCTCAAATTATAAACTTTTTAATCACATTAATATGAATGTGCAAAGTACTCCATTAGAAGGCAAATATTACAAGAATGGATAAAAAGACCTAAGATAAGATATCTATAAGAGACATGCTTTAACTAGGTTGCTGAAACTGTCATGCTTTGACCTGTACTGTTATGATGTTATGTTCTCTTTTATCTCAATCTCTTCCTTACTCATTAAAAAAATTTAGTTACTTTTTATGATTTTTTAATTAAGGGGAAAAATTAAAAAAATTAGCAGGATATATTATAGTAACTTATTTGATTTCCTATTAACTTGATTTGAAGTCCTGTAATACTCGCACTATCTTGTTTTGACTGATTAGACTCTGCTTTGTTCTGTATGATAGTATCAATTTTGAAGGTATAGGCAACTACTTTGAAGGCAGTAAGATTCACTATGATGCCCATTCTGGTTTGGCTATTATCTTCTTTGGATCCTGTAGTGTTTACAAGGTTTAGGTTTTATTGGTCTTATTCTCTACTGTTTTGTTCAACTTTATAATACCTAATGAGATAGACAATTCTTTTTAAGGAAGCAAGAGGCATTATGGTAACCATTGTCGATAACCTTGTACTCTGTTTTTACATCATGTGCTATGTCCATCCTTGGTTTTGACTGACAGCTTTGTTTTGCCATACTTGACTTTATTCTCTTCCCCCCAAAAAAGTAATAAGAACTAAGGAGTAATAAAACCCAAAATGTGTAAATTTTGTTGTAAAAAAGTGCTCTAAAGTATACAACTGCAGGTGTGTTTAGGGGTGTTAAATAGATGCCCATATTAATGTTTTTGGTTGGATCATTGAACACAACTGTTTGCAGTCTCACTGTTTGAATGTCCACTTTGTATGCTTTGATACTGTGACTTGAGCAGCTGTCTCTAGGATGATAATTGTAATCTATTAACTGGTAATTTCTTACTGTTTTTTTTTGTAGTTATGTATTAATTGTACCCTTACACTGCTTTGTTTTGTTTTGTTTTTTCTTTTTCCTTTTACATAAAATTAAAAAAAGAGACATGCTTTAAATATATAGACAACAATAGATTTAAAATAAATGAGTAGAAAATGTGTATCATGAAAACTCTTAACCATATCACAGGTCATAATGCCTACATCATTTTTGTTGTTGTCTTAGTTATTTTTATTGTTGCTGAGACAAATTACGTGACACCCACAAACTAAAGGAGGAAAGATTTATTTTGGATCACAGTTTGTAGTCTGTGGTTGGCTGGCTCCAAGGTGGGATTGCATGGCAGAGGGACATTGCAGAGGAGAAACAGTCCATGGTGGAGCAGGAAGGAGAAAGTGGCAAGATGCTTCGTTTTTCCTTTATTCCATTCTGGCTACAAGCCTTTTTGGCAGTGCCATACATACCTATGGTGGGCCTTTCTATTAGCCAGAGTCAGAATTATGCCAAACTATGGGGCTGGGGATTTAGCTCGGCATAAGTGCCTGCCTTGCAAATGTGTGGTCATGAGTTTGATCCCCGGTACCAATAAAAAAGAAAAAGACAGAAAAAAAAAAAGAATTATGCTAAACTAATCAGTGGACTTAATTATCACACCTTCAATCTATATTCACACATCCTTAATCCACATTTACACATTCTAGATCCAGCTATCTCAGAAAAGACCTACCTATGAGTACATGAGGTTTTAGAAGGACAACTAGATACAAACCATAACAGTAGTCTTCAATACAAAGAATATTATTAGCAATAAAGGAGATGTTTCTTAAAGGTAAACAGTTCTGTTGTTAAGAAAGGTGCAGCATTCACAAATGTGTATGTGCCTAAGAACAGCTTCAAAATACATTAAATAGCTAGGGATTTAGCTCAGTGGCATAAGCAGGTGTTGGCAAGTGTAAGGTCATGAGTAAGGTCATGAGTTCGATCCTTGATACCAAAAAATATATATATATATAAATATATAAAAATATATAAAATATATATATAATTAAAAGGATATTTATAGCATCCCTTTCTAAGCAATTGATTGAGTTAGAAAATAGTCAGTGTCTTCAGTAAGACCTGGATAACACTATCAATTCCTTTGGACCTAATTGAACTTCATAGAACATCGTATCCAACAACTACCGCATATACTCTCTCCACGTGTCGTTGATGCATTCACCAAGGTAGACCATATTTTGGGTCATAAAATAAGTCTTAATTTAAAGCAATTAAATTAAGGGCATGTACTCTGACCACAATGCAATTAAATTAGAACTCAGTAAAAGTAAAATGTCTAGGAAAATCCTATATATGTAAGTCATGGAAAAAAGAATCATGACAAACATTGGAATATGCTTTAAATTACATTTTTTTTGGAAATCCAGCTTTATTAAAAATTATAGGATTCTGCAAAAGCTGAAGCAAAATGATGATTTTAAATAATTCATTAATGATTTAAACAATTAAATAGAACAGAAGAAAGATCTTAGTCAGTGACTTTAAGGTTCTACCTTGAGTGGCTAAAAAGAGAAAAAGCTGATCCAAGGTAGATAGAATAAAGGAGTAAAAAAGATGAGAACTCAAGCCCAAGTTGGTTCTTTGAAAATAATTGATAAAATTGATACAATCTTCACTAGATTGACAAAAAGATATTTAAAACCTGCCTATGTTAGAAATGGAAGAAGATAGTACATCCTAAATATTATTAAGTGAATGGGTCAAGGCAACTTTTTAAACATTAAATCTAGAGTAATCAGAATAGTATTCAAGGTATATGTATAAATGTGTAAGAATTGATAGAATAATGAATGGTATGGGCTGAAAGTTCTTGAAACAAAAGAATTTTGAGTGTGGTAAAGAAGGGACCACAAATTAGTAGGGAAGATTTATGCCCTTACATTACATTGTATCCCAGCAAAACTATATTTAAATGCAATAAATTAAAAAAGATTAACCATTAAATATTTCAGAAGAAATACAGGTATTTATAGACGTTAGGAAGAAAGGTTCTCTAAGCATAAAAGTAATGGAAAAGAAAAAAATTAATTTCATGCAAAATCTGAACTTCTGTATAATCTATATATTTTTAAAGACAGGATGATAAGGCATTATAAAATACTTGCAACAATGTGACAAATATCTTTAATATATAAAATACTTCTATGTGTCAGTAAGAAAAAAATACCCTCGATATATAAATGGGCAAAAATCATTTGATGAATAGTTCACTGAAAATTCAAGTGACTTACACACTGTCATTTAACATTAGTGGCTTTCCTTGTTAATTGTTAAATATGATTCTGTGCATTAACAGTATTTACTCAACCATGATTTTTATTATAGAAAAGTTTGAAGCAACTTAAATGTTCAAAAATAAAAGAATGATTGACACTATATGGTATGTCTATAAGAAGAATAATTGTACTGCTATGAAAGAGTAAAGTTTTAGAAGAACAGGGATATGGAAAAAAGCATATAATGTGAAGCTCTCATGATCCCATTTTTAAAAAGCTATCTTACTAAAAAAATAAGCTCTTTAGGGCAATAAAACTTGATCTTAAGAGACATGAAGCTGTCACCATCCATCCCATTACTTTTGTAGGTAGAAAGGCAGTACCAAAAATCTGATTGTTAAGGGCCTTCAGAACAAAGCAAATTGATTATAATTTTAGATAATAAAGACTAGAATTTTAGGCCAGCAGTGCGGGTTCCAGAAAGAGAAAGGTCTGTGCCTCCTGAGAAGTGGCTGTGCTGGGACTGGGAGGACCCAACAAGAAGCTAACTATCCAGCCTTTCTGGTAAGCCACACAAGCTGTGCAGCTTCCAGGAAGAGAAATCAAACCCACTCCTACCATGTAAGCAACCAGTGGGTTTGGAGGACAGGCTGAGTTGATAGAAACTGAGGTACATAAAGCAACTAATGCCATAGTGTTTGGTTGATTTTGCAGGCCTGGGGCCAACAATCTGAGCATCTCTTGGGAGAATGACAGTATGCAGTGTAGTGAATATGGGGGATTTCCTTCTATCTTGTCTTTGAAATCCAATATTGTTCTCACTGTTTTGCTTTGTTCTGATTGTTTTGCTTTATTCACTATTCTGTTTTGATTGGTTTAATTTTATTTTGTTTTTGGTTTGATTTTGCTATACCTGATGGAATGGACAACTATTGTAAAGATAACAAGATATACCATGTTAGCTATTGTTTTCCTAGTATCCTGCCTTGAAGTTCTGTACCAATTTTATTGCTTTGTTTTGAGGGACTTTGTTCTGTTTTGTTTTGTTGGATTTTACTGTCTTTAAATAAAAGGTTTTGAAAAAGACTAGAATTTTAGTTATTTGGATTCTAAAGTATGAATTATACTTAGAATTATGTTACCTATTAATATTTTATCTGTTGCTATAATCAAATCAATGGTCCTTATTTTAATATAAGCAAATGAAGATAGAACTGTTTTTAGTTTTTCTTCCACTGCTGAAAGTTAAACCTGAGCCTGACATGTGCTAGGCATGAGCTCTACCACTGAGCCATATCGTGGTACTATGGAACTCTTTTATATGTACAGTAGTATGATATATAGAAAGCTATGGTGATGTTTACTCTAATCCTGTATTTTAGAAGCAATAGGCTTTAGATTCAAATATAAATGCTGTATATATTGTCCTACTGATATTACAAGTAATATTTAATGGGAATTATTTTCCAGCTTGGTGAACATCGTCATTCTGCAGTAAATCTCAATCCTCCGTTATCACAAGAAATCGGTAAGTGATTTGAAGTTTGCCACATCTAAAGACATGCTAATTTTGTCCTTTAGTATTCAGTTTGTCTTGGATTTTTCTTAGGCATTGTGGCTTTTATTTTTTGATCTTTTTTGAGACAAGGTCTTGCTATGTGGTTCAGGCTGGCCTTGGGCTCACTTTGTAGCCCAAGCTGGTCTTGAACTTACCACAATCTGCCTGCCTCAGCTTCCCAAGTGCTGGAATTACAGGAGTGTGTCACTCCCAGCTAGGCATTGTTTGTTGCTGTTGTTGTTTTGTATTTTTGAGACAGGGTCTTGCTATGCAGTTCAGGCTGGCTTTGGGCTCACTTTGTAGGCTAGGCTGGTTTTGAACTTGCAAACAATTCTCCTGCCTCTGCCTCCCAAGTGCTGGGATTACAGGAGTGTGCAATCATGCCTGGTTTAATTTTTTAGAAAATCAGTTACTTCTCTACCATTAACTAATCTTTTTTTGAAAAGCAATTTAGCTTCCTGTCTCACTGTCCTGCAATGCTTGCTTTCTTTGAGATCCCTAATGACTTCTCAGTCATCAAATATTATTATGAGTATCTTGCATTGTTACCATATTCAGTCCCTTTGAAGCATTGGATAACATTGACTATTTCCATTTTCCTTCTAAATTTTTGGATTTCTTCCTATCTCTCTGGTCTCGTTGTAATGGTATTAATAAAGATGAGCTTTATCATCCATCCAATCGAATGTTAGCATTCGATTGGTTCATTCATTCATGTCCATGTGTATATATTATATTTAGTATCATCAGCTCCTTATCAGCTGTAATGATAGAGTAGTGGACAAGAATGCAAAATTCTAACAGAGTGTTTATATTTTTAGAAGGAGAGACCAAAGATAGACAAATACATCAACATCTCAGGTAGTGTGTTAAACAACAGTCTCTAGGGATTTGAACTGATATATTCATATGTTACACTGTAAAGTCTAGTATTATATTCACTTTATAAAGGATCCAGACTGGAGTAAATAGCAGATAAAGTACTATATAGATTGTATACTGATGTCAGTAGAAAATAAAATGAGACGGGAAGAGGAAGAACACAAATAACTGGTAATCAGTCTGTCTATCCATTCAGCTATTTTATTCCTGAATGGGTCAGCTCTACTTAGAATAAAATAATTGAGATGTTAAAAATCGTACGAAAATTTCCACATGGCAGAAAGTAATTTCTTTTGCTTAGTTAATAAGTGAGTTATTGTGGAAAAAGTTTTTTCTTTAAAAGACTTATTTCAACAATGGATTACTGTAGCTTTTAAATTAATAATTGATTTTAAATTAAATTTAAAATACTGAATTTTTTTACTTATAGTTTTAAATATATTGAATTAAAGACAATATAGGTCATTACTAGCAATCAGCAACAAAATAATTTTATATGGAAGGTTAATTTTAAAAAATCTTTTTTTTTTTTACTCTGTGGGTACCAGAAATTGAACTCAGGACCTTGCGCATGTCAGACAGGCACTGCACTGCCAGGCTTAACCCTGGCTCTTATTTTTAAAAATTTTATAAAAATGAGAGAATTATTTTCATTGTCTTGTCAGTTTCCTTGAACAAATTCACAGACACTTACTGTACTTAACAAATAGTAATTGGATGTTTGGCTTATGCAGTATGTTTCAGCTCTGCTTTGATATTTTCTCTGTCCATTTTCTTTGCTGTGCTCACCAGATTTTCACCATTCCTTGGCCAAACTTTTTCCTTTTGGTTATTCCTAAAAGGACTGTCCAGTTCAGCCTTACTACACAATCTTTGCTGAATAATACTTGTAGAGCAGCTCAAATACTGTATCTGTGCTTGAAAAGCTTAATGGTTTCCAATTATGTACTAACTATAGACCATATTCTGTAGTAGGGCACTCAGTAGCTTTTCTAAGCTCATCTTTATTAATTACTACTCAGTATCTTTATTATTTCTCAGTGCCCCTCCCAAAAGTATCAATTTTTTGCCCTAATGCTTCCTATGGGTTCCTATTTATGGGCCTTTCTGCTATTCCCTTCATTGAGGCATTTTATCCTCTTTTAATTGTGTAAACATGTTCTTTGTGTACTTACGTTAGAATTACTTTCAAGTAAGATTTAAATTTGAGTTTGTTTTGACCTTTTCTAGTACCAAGGACTATGCCTTGCACACAGAAAGAATACCTGGTATTCTAATATCTCATAAGTGTTTTGATGCTACTCTATGTATGAAGTATATTTTATTACACTAAGTTATGTGAATTTTATATAACATGAGTAGCACAATCTGATGATAGTTATCTCCTACAGGAAACTTATTTGGGAAACAAGGAGAAGATGTGTTTAAGTTTTCTTTTTCATCTGATACTTCAACTCGTACATTTGGAGCTGGAAAGGATGATTTTATTTTTCCATTTTCTTTTGAACAGGATCAGAACTCTATGCCTTCCTCTTCAGAAGGTTTTTCATCTACTTCACAAAATACAACACAGTTTAGTCTTTTTTGAACCATTTTTGAATATTTGAATCTTTGTAGTCATCTAGGGAATAAATTTACTTTATTACTAAAAACATGACACTTTTGTTGATTAATGATGGAGTACTATAGTTACATTATTTGATTATAAATATTTAAATGTTGAGTGTTTTATTTGTGGAATTTGCTAATTCATTTTTATTTTAATTTTGCAAGCTACATTGAGACAAAACTTTTGTTAATCTGAATATGATTTTTTGTTTTGGTACCTGGGATTGATCTCACAACCTCATGCTTGCCAGACAGACGCTTATGCCATTGAGCTAAATCCCCGGCCCAATCTGAATATGATTTGATGCATTTTCAATTAACCTTTATTAGAAATATTTAGTCTGCTTGTTCCTGAGTTTTGTTTGGTAGTATTTTAGTTATTTTGATGAGAACAAGAATTCCTTCAGACCATCAGAACTTTTAGTGATGACTGTGCAGATTAATGCTAAGGGTACTTTAGCAACTAAATTCTTGAAAAATTACTGGATTTCACTCTTGTAGGATATAGAATGGTATTTTAATAATAATTCCATAAATTTATGTTATGATAGTAAAGTCTGTTATTTCCTTCTAAACATGATAAATTATAAATTTTTTAAAAATCAGTTAAATTACTATCTTTCATGAAATAAAATTAAACATGAAAGACTAATATCCTAAGATTGGGTTGTTGTATTAGTGATGGGTCCTCTTTTTTGCTTAAATCATTTTTGAAGAACATTTAACTTTTTGTTTCCTGTCTGTAACAAAAAACAATTTTATATTTCTATTTTATGTTTGGTATTTATTTGTTAATTATGTGAAATTGTGTTTTGTGCTTTTTAAATTAATTGTGTTGTTGCCAAGTAATAAAAAGTATGACTCCATATTTTATTGTGTAACTGCTTTAAGGTTTTAAAACCTTAAACCCTCTGTTTCTCTTTCTGCTCCACATCTAGTCAAATTGATAAGCTGGTTACTCTCTCCTTTAGTGCATGCAGGAAGTGAAACTAGGTATAGGAACTCTGATCCACCATAAAACTCTGGTCTACCATAAAAACCTGAATCCAGTCTACTTCTTGTGCTTTCTCAAGCTGTTGGAGACCTCCCTATCTGTTCCAAGAAAACCTTCTATGTGAATAGAAAATCCTTTCATATTCTTTTGGGAGCATGAGAGCAGCATTATCATTCTCAACATGCCAACCAAATTTTTGGTGAGGGTCGATCTGTTTATCCAGTGTTTATAGCATATCACAGCTGTATTAATTTAAGCTTTTCCATAGCCTTTTAAAAATTTGATATAACTAAAATTAGAAAGAATTTGAGAAAACGCAAACCTTTGAGAACTGGTTAAAAGATAAAAATTCAATTCAGAAAGCTGAAGTCTTAATTTTTATATCAGGTATTTATGATCTAATGATTAAGTTAATTGGTAGCTGTTATGGATTAAGACCCGGTGGTCAATTTAACGCCAGCTGGATTACATCAGCATGGCATTGAGTGAAGATGCTCCACCTGAGGAAAGTTGCCAGGATAAACAGGTAGAGAAGAAGGGAGTTGTTGAGGGGTGAGGCGTTAAGATGTTATTGCATTGAGGCATTGTGGGTTCTCCTATGAGTTGCTGTTTGAGCTGTTGGTTCTTCTGGAGAAGCTTTGGTCCTCACATCGAGCATTGCTTCCTGGCTCGGGAGGGGAAGACATGTGCTGCTTGGTCCCCAGGATGAACTCTTCACACTGCTTCCTGGTATATACCCAACTGTGCTTGTCATTGGAGGAGCTCGGGGCCTCCATGCCACTGAGGACAGCTGTGGTGCTTTTCAAGACAGCTCTGGTCTTTGTTGTGAGTGTGACTTCTCAGCTCCAGTGTAGAACCCTCATCCCACTAGCACAGCTCCTTTATCCTGCTGGCATAGACTTTTTGGCTTCCACTGCTGACCGTTGGGTCTTCCGGGCATGGATTCATAAAAGAGACTGGCGTGAGTCCCTTCTTGTGGGCTCTGGACCTCCAGTTGGACTTGTCGGAGGCATTGTCATGAGCTCTGGGTTTTTATCTGCACTCATGTGGGACATTGCTGTGGGATTTAGGCTCTTGACTAAATAGTCTATGTCTTTGGTGTTGAGGATAGATTTCCTGTGTTAACTCCCAGTGACCATTATAAAATAATATTATAAACTCCATGTCCTGATCCTAATTGTTCTCTGCACAACCCTTAACTACAACAGTAGCTTTCATTTAATAAAGACATTGATGATGTATTAGAAAGGAGAAAACACTGGAATTAGTTTGTAAAGAGCTGAAAAACTAGGTTTAGCCTTGAGAGACCAATGACTCCATAGTTTTTTTTTAATGTTAGAGTAATGTTTATCCACACAAGCCAGATTAGGTTTATTATGTACCAATAAATGCCCACAGTGCAAATGAGTGACATATAGAAGGATATAAAAGGACTAGAAGATACGGGAACAAGATAAGGAACTTAGAACTTGATTAAGGAGTTAACGACACAGGAAACATCAAAATCACATTATAATACAATAGTATTTCTATGGTTTATACCTTGATATATGGGAGAGAATAGATAAATTGCATTAAGAACTGGAAAATAAAAAGATCATCATGGACTGGAAGACTTAAGAATCACTGAAAGGTAAAAATTTTAATCATAACCTTAAGGGTATGTAGATTATAAAATTCTTCAGTGTAATATGATCATTTTTGCACACTTTCGTTTTTGACAGGATCGAATCTAAGGCCTTTTCCCATGCTAAGCATACATTCTACCACTAAGTTATACACTAACCCTGAGTTGACATTCTTTTACATTTATATTTTTCATTACTTATTGTAATGTTTACTTGGATTCTTAAAACATTCACTAAGTAATAGAATTTAACTGAACTGGTGAAAGCACGGAGACTCTTATAGGTAGTACACTGTGTCAACTTAAGTTTAGAATTTTAACTGAGAGACTCAGCAGGGAGTTAAAATCCTTACTTTGTAAATATCCGCATCCTGTGCAAGAGGAGGGCACAGACTTTGTGAGTGCTACACCCACTCTGGGATGGGGTGGTCTGTGTACAATATAAGGAAGGAGAAGAAGCTTGTTTCTTCCTTTTTGCCTTAGCTGCTTTTGCTACCTGCTGCCTTGAAGTGTTGCCCCAGTCCCATGCCACTGCCTTGTAGCCAGCTGATTATGGACTGAAACCTCCAGAAACTGTAAGCTAAATCTTTCCTTCATTTTAGGTGATGGGTATTTTGTCCTAGCAATGAGAGAAAAGTAACCAAGACACAGACTTTTCTAGGTAAGGAGATGCTATCATCACAATAACAAATTTATTATGTGTGGATGAAATTAGAGAATTATCCTAATTAGAATGAAAATAATAGGAAGCTGTTTAATATGATAGAACTAATATATTGAGGATCTTGAAGTGTTCTGACTTGATTTCTGATGCCAATATGGAACTTGTATAATAAGTGCAAAATACAAAATAATAAATACAGAAGAAAAGGAATGTTTAAGGAAAATTAAACTGTTGAGAGAGATTTGAGCTAGATACAACAATTACAATGCTATTGCCATGGTCCAAGTAGGTGGTGATATGTATGTTCCAGGTGATAACTGACTGTCTTGTGGTTTGATACTAGTATAACCTAAAATTGTAAAAGTATTGTTTTTGTGAAAGCAGTACATTTGAGTAGCATCCAGGTACAAGGTAAAAGGATAAAAGAGCCAGGGTTGTCTGTGTTTTAATATCATAGGTCATCCAAATAGTGTGGGCATGTCTGTGTAACTCTCCTAATACAGCACAAAAGTAACTTCATGTAATCAAATACTCTTCTAACAATAATTGTTTAATTGTATATATGTTTGTGTGTCTATATGATAAAAGTAAAACAGCATAAGTTTACACTGATAAGCCTAGCAACATGAGTTCATTCTATGTGTTTGAATACTGAAGGTCCATTCCTCCCAAAGGTCCATGTGTTAAGGGCTTGGGTTCCAAGGTGGCCATATTGGGAAGCAATGAGAATTTTTTTTCTAAGCTCGTTTATTTTTATTATTGTTGTTATTATATTTTATGGAAAAAATAAAATAAAAAAATAGAATAAAAATAGTTAATACATTGTGTATTGTTACCGTCAAAGTAGTAGCTCAGAGTACAAGATACAGGCATGAAATATTGTCCAAACCATATTAGCACAAATCTTTCTTTTCAATGAACTAAGAGAAACTAGTAATACAACTGTCTTAACTATCCTCTGTTTCTTTCTTTTTCTCCTTTCCCCTAACCCAGTTCCTCTTTCCTTTTAAACAGTTTCTTACCATTTCGCAGTATCTGTTGCACATGTAGGACCTTATTAACCCTTGCAGCTTCTCACACTAGGGAGGTAATATGTTTACACATGAGAGTCTGATTTATTTCACTTATCAATATGATCTCAGGTGGCATCCATTTCCCTACAAAAGTCTCAAGTTAATCTTTTTTGTGGCTGAGTAGTACTCCTTGTATAAAAATACATCTTTTTTTATTTAGTCCTCAGTTAATGGACATTTGGGTTGTTTCCAAAATTTAGCTATTACAAATTGTGCTGCTATAAACATGGAAACACACATTTCACTGTGGCATGATGTTTTTAATTTTTCCAGGAAAATACCTAGATGGGGCATAGTTAGGTGAAATGGAACCTCCAGTCCTAGCTTTTTATGGAATCTCCACACTGATTTCCACATTGGTTACATGATTCTACACTCCTACCAACAATGCAGAAGGTTTCCTTTTTTCCCCCCACAGTCCCTCTAGCATTTGTTATTGGTTGGTTTCTTGATGATAGCCACTTTTTTCTGGGCTGAGGTGAAATCTCAGTTTTTTAAATTTGCATCTCTAGAATGACCAGTGATGTTGAACGTTTTTTTCATATATTTACTGAGGCAATGAGAGTGGAAAGTCCTTAGACATTGGGAATGTGCTCTCAGAGGGGATTGTGAGACTCTAGTCTCTCTCTACTTGTGGGTGAGATATGACTGCTTTCCTCTACGTTGCCCTCATGCCATGATGTGCTGCTGTCTGCCACGCTCACAAGAAACAACATCAAAATGCTCCTTTCCAGCTGATCTTTAAAACAAAAACTCTGAAGCACTTAACTCTTTTTATGCTAGCCACCTCAGGTATTTTTCTGTAATGATGCAAAAATGAGTAATTTAATACTCCTCCTTTGTTTATTTGTATATAATTTCTCTAACAGTGTGAAGCCTAATGTCATGTTTTTGTTTTTGTTTTTCTGTTTTTGTGAGACAAGGTATTGCTATGCATTTCAGGCTGGTCTTGAACTCACTTTATAGCCCAGGCTGGGCTCGAATGCACAGTAATCCTCTTGCCTCAGCTTCCCAAGTGCTGGGATTACAGGTGTGCACCACCACACCTGGCTCATGTTTTTAACTTTATATTTTTTATTAGTACATGTTCAGCAGACATATTGATCACATTTGTCATAATTTGTACCTGTATATAATATATATCCTTATTATTCATTTTTTTGCCCATTCTCCTCTCCTCCTTTCAACTTTCTTCCCCTCCCCACTTACAAAAGCTTTGTTTCCATGTTTTTTTATTCTTTTTTTTGCTTTTCCCTTCCTTGTCTCCCCCCTTGTTCCCTTCCCACTTCAACATACTCTTCCTATTATCTGTTCTCCATTTTGCTCCTTATTTACCCTTAGAGTTTCTCACAAAAGAGAAACTATTTAAATTTATGCATCTGATTATTTCGTCTAAAAGTATGATCTCAGGGTGTA